TTACACCAAATAAAATTCAGAAATTGTTCGGAGGGAGACATCTCATGCGCACCACAACCCTAAATTGAACTAAACTACCCTCGGAGTGCGCATTGCCCACGATGGATTAGGCGTATCCTCTATCTTCATTACAGTCTCTTCTTGTAGGAAATTGTCCGACCAAAATATTCCATTTTTATCTTAACTTTGCACCTTGTCTACGGTTTCAGTGCTAAATTTAGCAAAAGAAATTAACTAGCGTTTGCGCCCCATTCGCTAAACTGGTTGTAGCATGCAAGCTGTGTTAAGAAATTAAATAAGGTAGGCATGGAGCGAACTATGTATGGATGGATGTAGAAATACAGCTGTTGTGGAAAAAACTAAGTACGAAGGAATTAAGGCGTTTCGGCCCATTAATTCATACATCTTAGCTCAACACCACGACTGGACTTCGTCGGTACGACGGTCTTTGTGTTCAGAGATGAAAAGGAAAAGGAAGAAATGGAGGGGAAGAAAAAAGAAAGAGAAGAAAAAGAAGATTGGGAAGGGAGGATTTTTTTTTACAATTACATTAAATTTAGAATAGTTAAAAAAGATTGAAAAGTTGAAATATAAAATTAGAATTTTGATGGATGCTCTGTGGCCCGTGTGGTTGTTCGGGGCTACATCATCATCGCCGCTGGTTTTGGTTCGTTTCATATTCGACATAACTGGAAAGTATTATCATTGTTAACAAGAAGAATGTTGTGCCTACTAAGTCTCGTATAATTTTCGCAAACATCCGGCTTCTTGCTAAATATTTGCTAAAATTTTGCAACTCCTAGCTGCTGTCATACTGTTGGCGTGGGACACACGAGCACACATACGCATACACACAGATATACACGCACAAGTCGATGGCGTAATAGTCTAGCAGAGCATTGAGAGAAGTTAAAAGGATTGAAATCTTAGTAAAGTTAAGAGGATTGAACTCTTCTCGATTTATTCGTCTGCCAGACTTATTAAGTTAAAGGCGATATGCTCATATCGCAAAAATTT